TAATTGGTCTTGGGATTTAAACCAATCATCCGCTGGAGGATTTTTGTTATTTGTATGGAATTATTTATGACCAATCATTATGAATACTAAAAAGTTTGAAACCTGTATATTAAGTAAAACACTGACTTAGGTCGGGTGTTGGGTTTACGTTGTATGAACCTGTAGAGGTGTGATGACCAACCACACACCACAAGATGGACACGACCACGACAACGTTTGGGTCCTTCCTGGACCATTATTAAACGTCGTCGTTTGTCCAACTTGTGGTGTTTGGTTTGGTCATTATATCTTGAGCCAGGTCATTGTGACTGATGGTCTCTATAGAGGTGTATTAAGGTCACCATCATTGCTTCATGACTAACCAACAAACACACATAACGTCCTCAACATTGCCACATACTAAAGTACTCGTCTTCACACACCAGATAGTTCCACTCCTCACTGATATAATCACTCGTAGTGTTGGCATAACCCTGGAAACACAAACCGAAACTGTCTCTATTTTCCGCTTATTACAACTTGTAATAAAGTTGTTACATCTTGGCTTAACGTGTTTATGACGTATTATAACGTTGTTACAACTTGTTATATTGGTTGTTATAACTGGTTAGGTGTTAAAACTTGTTCTAACGTTCTTCCAACGTCGTAGTTTCGGTGTGTTAGGCATAACCTCCTTCTCCAAACTAACGTTACTAAAGAGTTGCAGCAAGAAAGCGATATCACCAGGACATTGCTAATTAACATAAACTTTTATTGATGTCATATTTAAGGTGTAAGTTGTTGTTGTTAAAGAATAGCTACCTGGAACAAAAAGTTCTAGGTAACACGGGCTATGGTGAGCCCGTAGTGCCTTTTAAGGTGTAAGGTAGAGGTGGTGGGCATGACATGGAGGGGATACTTGGCCAGAGTACCGGGGCAGGAGTGTGGGCAGTACTCCCGCCACCTCTTGCCCAACACTCACAACTGAGTGTTGGTTCCTGGGGAATACCTGCCACTGTGTTGGCAACGCTGCCACCAAGTGTAGACCACATCACAGGACCAAGTGTTGCCAAGAGAAAGTTATGTGCAGTGTAAAGTTGTCTTCTCATCCCATCCTCCACCAGCATTCACCCATATCTATATCCACCATACAGTATATATCCACAACCACCATATATATATATAATATATATATATATATATATATATATATATATATATATATATATATATATATATATATATATATATATATTGGAGGGGATCTAAACATTCCCTCTAATGCGTTATGCGTGGTTTCCTCCGAGGCTATGGGTCCCCTTCTTCCAGCCAGAGGTGGTACTCCCTTCCCTGTTTATATACATTATATATATATATATATATATATATATATATATATATATATATATATAAGTACTCGTATGATGGTAATTCATGATGGTTCTTTAGAAGACTAAAGAAACCCGTCAGTGTATTTTCAGCAAAGAGCTGAGTACGTATCTTGGTGTGTGTATAATTCCTTGCATTAGTTGAGAAACTCATTCACTTGCTGGTCTTTACGGCCAACGACTATGAGACGTCATTAAGCCAAAACGGTCGTTTTATTTAGACACAATGATCATAGCTAAAGTTAAGGAAAAGCAAAGGATGTGTAAGCCTGGCTCGGACCTGTACACACGGTGAAGGGTAGGCGTGAGTGAATGTAACAATCACATGGATGGGAGATGGTCGAAGTACTGCATACCAAAATAGTAGTTTTGCAAGTGTATGTTAAAAAAAAAATTATTGTGACTATAGAGTTGTTGTTGTTGTTAAAGATTTTCTACCTGGAACAATAAGTTCCAAGTAGCACGGGCTATGGTGAGCCCGTGAGGACTGTAGAGGCTTGGGGTGTTACTACAAAGTAATGTGGTGGCCTGCATGGGGTAGGGTAGGGTACAACACCAGACGTGGACTCACCTCGTCTTAGGTGTCCCAATCTGCCACAGGCGGGGCAGTCTCAGGTACAACACTTTCTGCCTTTATCATCTTAAGAAGGCAGCTGGGCACTTAATTTGTTTCTTTGCGTGTTGGGACTTTTATGTCATGTGGGACGGGGGCGGCGTCCATACACAGAGGCTTGGCAATCAGCGCAGGACATGACTTAAGGAAGGTAATTCTCCCGCCGGCAGACAGTTTAAACAGAGCTCCACACACACACACACACACACACACACACACACACACACACACACACACACACACACACACACACACACACACACTCGCCCCTGCAAAGTAAATAATAAGTCAGAGAAGTGCATCTACCGATGTTTTTCCGGCATTTATTAGACTAGGATGGATATTAGGCTATATATAATTTGTTATTTGTAATTTGTGCAAAATAATTAATGACTGTTTTATGCTTAAAGTTTTACAAGATAATGAGGCAGTTTCATATTTTCTTATTACAAGTTTTCATGTTCCATTTATAAATATTATGTATAGTTTATTTCCCATGGGTAACCTACTGGTTAAGTGTTTAATATCACCAGTTTCTATAGACGCTATCTTACCCTGTCAAAGTAGGAGAGACATAACGGTATGTATATATACGTGGATATGTGTAGATATATATGTATATATATATATATATATATGTATATGTGTGTGTATTTGTATACAGGATATGTTGCAGCTGGTCATAATTGCATTTCACCTTTGTAAAGGCACATTAATGATGCTATGTAAAAGATACCTCGAACACTGTTTATGTAGGACAGACGTAAATCTGTGTATTTATGTTTGTAGTCCTTTTAAAATGCTAATCTAACCTACAATCACCTTCTGTGGTTGATTGTTCAATACATCACTGAACAATATGTTTAACAGATCTCTACCCTTGTCCATGAAGGACAGAAGAAAATGCATATATGCTGGTTAGCACTGAAAATGTGTGGCCACGTTTGTGGTGGAAAATAATAATAATAAAAAAATTGCCCTAGTCACTTCTCGGTATAATTTCCACTTCTCTCCTTATTACACTGATGGCGTCAATTTCAGTATACAGAGACGGCGGCCGTTAATGAGTAGGTCTGGTGTTGGGCTCAATAAGGCCTATCAATATATGCAGGGCTCTCAGAGTTACAGCCCCGCTCCTGTGCCAGGTAAGTCCACTACGGGCTCACCATAGCCCGTGCTACTTGCCTCGCTCCTGTGCCAGGTAAGTCCACTACGGGCTCACCATGGCCCGTGCTGCTTGGAACTTTGTCCCAGGTAGCGAATCTTTAACAACAACAACAGCTAAACTAATCTTTACCAACACCTCACAAACAAATAGTCTTCACACAAATACTATTTGTTTTCTGTGTTGTTTTCTTAAACACAGTTTAGGAATTATCTCAAATTAAAGACATACAAAATTTAAATGATAAATATTTAAGTAATGTTTTACAGAAGCGTCAGTGTGTCCCCATAAGAATATTAGAGACAAAACCACATACACAATCTGTACACATTCTTGTAACTTCCAATATTATTAAAACTGTTTTTCCTCGTGTCTCCATTGATATGAAAAATTCAAGAGTTTTTTCTTTGGATGATACGTTTATTTCCTCATTTATTTTGAAGAAAACTTTTATTTTTTACCCTTCAAATTATATTTTAGAAGCAGAATAGATTTGGAGATTTTAGTATTTAAAGAACTGACATTCACTTTTGCAAATAAATCAGCAAGTTTTGAATAAAGAAGTCACTGATTTTTGGCTTTCATGTAGTGAATATTTATTTATTTTATTTATTTATTTATTTATTTATATACAAGAAGGTACATTGGGTTTGAGAGAATACATAGCGTAGTATTTACAATATTGTAAAGCCACTAGTACGCGCAGCGTTTCGGGCTGCGAAAAATTACAATTATTACTTAACCTATTATAGGTATAGGTTAAGTAATAATTGTAATTACAAAGCAATAAGATGCTTATCTTAACATACTAAGAAGGTTAGGTAAGGTCGGTGTTTTCTATGAAGCTTTTCAAGGTAAACTAAAATATTCACAATAAATTAGTATGTCACATATGCACTTATTTAATAAGTCAATATTGACTGTAAGAAAGTGCGAGAACGGGTTGCCTCAAGACCCGTGTGTTGTACTGGAGATAGAGGAGGTGACTCCTTACACAGCTGTAGGCCGCACCATGGAGAAAAAACATAAATTATATGATACTGACAATGGGATATAAATTTTTATAAGAACAGGCAAGAATTTTTAAGTGGGTTCTTGGTGATCTATGTGCGCAGTGCTTAGCCAGTCAGGTTAACCATCGTTGGATCAGGCCAGTAACTGGACGGGTGGCGTCCATGTACAGCCTCACCTTTGGAAAGGGAAGAAAAAGTGGGGGGGGGCTCGGGAAAGCCTAATGGCACCCTGTCTGTAACAGTGGTATACCAGGTTTGTCTTAAGTGATAACGACTACAATTCGTTCATTTCTTAAGTTACAATTAAAGAAAGAAACTGGTGACATTCCTAGAGTATACGTGGACACACGAGGTTATCCCTGACAAACCCTCATTTAGGCTATGTCGCTTATTAATACAAAAAATGGACGGAATTGTAACGACTCGTATTTTTTTCCCAGAAAGTAAATTTCAACATTGCAGTACCGTGGGCGCGCCCACCCCACTCCCGGCTGTGTACTTATTGTGTCTGGTTACTGTATGTGTCTGTATGATGGACCTGTTAGCTCTTAGACCCAGACTTTCTAGCCGTCGGTTGTCTAATGTTCTCACTCCCGACCTAATTTTCTCTTATCATGTATACTACATAGTTCTCTCGTGCACACATACACATCCCCAGGATGAAGCCCGAAGCAGCTATCTAACTTCCAGGTACCTATTTACGGCTAGGTGAACAGAGTCATCAGGTTAAATAAACTGGCCATTTGTTTCTGCCTCAGACAGGAATCGACCCGGCTCGTGGACTGCGACTCCTGAGCGCTGTGTGTATGTTTTAGCTTTGTCTTTGTATCTATACATTCCAGCGCCGATCACTGGGACATTGTGCCGACGCTTCACCTCAAGGAAAGTGTCTTTCGTGGGCGGGATTCTGTGCTTCCTTGGCCTGGTGCTGGGCTCCCTCGCCCACAACATGAACCAACTCATCTTCTCCATGGGGCTTCTCACCGGTAAGACTCCACCACTCACTCTGTACCATCAAATCTTCGGTATTACCACCTCATATACGTGTAAATTCAAGACTATCTCTTTAACCAATACCTCAGTCTTAACCACAGTCATGTAGTTAGGTTTACAGTAATATGACAATGTTGAATTCATCCTAATATCATGACTGGTATAACTTCAGAAAAGCAATTTCCTTCACTATCAAAGTGATACAGTTTTGTTTTTAATTAATCTCTATATGGTCTTAGTTCAGTTAAATAATCCTTTATATCACATTAATTATTCACAAATCATTTAGTAAGCAGTATGATGAGAGGAACAGTGAACAGTAGAATGCCGCCGGCACAGTTATCATTCGGTGAGCTTCCGCTGAGTGGAATCTGCAATCTCTTACAGATTTCACTTGAGATAGTAAGTAGTCATCGAGAGGATAAACCCTTGACGTAAACTGCACGTTCCATCAAGAAGAAGCAGAGATAGTAAACCAATAGGTCTGTGGTTGCTAAATATAATGTGGGGGATTAAGTCAAAACAAAGTGCAAGGTTAAACAATGTTGTGTTTCTGCAGGTCTGGGCGCCGGACTGACCACCACGCCAGGGATCCTTATTGTCTCTCTCTACTTCGAGAAGCGTCGCACATTTGCCTCAGCCATCTGCGTCTCCGGCAACGCTCTGGGCGGCTTCTTCCTTCCACCACTCGTCGACTACCTGTTGGTCACCTACGGGTTTAGGGGCACCTTGATGCTACTAGGGGCCATGCAGCTACACATCTGCGTTGCGTCTATGCTCTATCGTCCAATCACTCATCACGCCATAGTGCAGGCCATAGACCAGCAGAACCAGGAGGAGGAGGAGAACAATGGAACAGTCCCAAAAGACAAGTTAGTGCCGCAAATTCCAGCCTCTCCTTTGCCGAAACCTGCCCAGCGGCCCTTAGATTCTTCTCCCAAAACTCCCGTCACTCGCTCCAGAGCACTCTGGCAGAAGATGATGCGTAGACGCCGCCTCTCTTCTACGACATCAGCAGAAGCTGCGGAACTGCAGCGCCAAGTGTCCTTCCTGCGCAGTGCATCAATGATGAACAGTATTCCGGATCTGACTCAGTACGCTCGCTCTTGGGCAGTCAACCCTGATGCCAACTCAATGGGCAGTCGATCCTCTATGCGAACAGGTTTTGCCATGGGTAGTAAATCTTCTCTATTTAATACGACGAATAGCAAATTATCCCTATCCAGATTACCAATTTTTGCAGAACATCCAAGCGTTCTGCGACTGTCTGACGAGGATGGGAGAGTGACATCTGCCCGCTTCCTGCGCGGGAGTGCGCGCCGCCTATCCTCACAGTCTCGGGTAGCACCAGTAGTTCTGCCAGAGGTCAGGACCCAGCTCAATAGACAAACATCGATCCGTACCGTACAGAGTAGAATAATGACGTCTGTCTTGGAAAGCGAAACAGAGGACAAAGAAAACCTCGTACGTCCATTTACAGAAGATAAAAATGACTTCACGGAAAATGGAATGGCAACAGCTGACAATCTGGGCCTAAAGCAAGAGGAACAAGAAGTGGAAGTAAAACGTCCCAACTGTTGCGTCATCTGCTGTGCTAACTTTTGTGATTGTTCTCTTTTTAAAGATGCCTTGTTTCTCACAATGGCGTTCTCTGTGTTCTTCATGTCATGTGGAGCGCCGTTCTCCACGTTCTTCCTCCCTGCCTACGCCGTCTCCGTGGAAATACCCTCCTCATTGGTTCCTAAGATGCTCTCCATTTCTGCTATCTTCGATCTCATCGGCCGCCTTGGAATGGGCTTTGTGTCGGACCTGGGATTCATCAAAACGCATCACATCTATTTTGTTAGGTGAGTATTTACAGATTTATGTCGTAAACAAGGTACAACTCTTTTTTACGATCACATAGTATGTTGTCTGGGGTAAGATCACTGAGCCAGTTGTCCGGGCTAAGATCACTGAGCCAGTTGTCCGGGTTAAGAGATGTACGTCTTATCTTAAGCACTTGGGGAGCAACAATATTTTATTATATATCAAACGACTGTTATAGTTGTGTAACACTTCTCACTACATCAATCTTCAACTCATGATACAAGTCCTCACACACACACACACACTTGTGAGGAACACACTGCCATGTGCTATATAGCCCTCATGACCCCATGAGGCTTTATTTTGATAAATACTTGTGCTTGAGCAGCGGGATGATGGCGGCGATTGCAGTGTTGTTGATGCCTCACATGACCACCTTCGGGAGCCTGACGGCGGTCTTGTCCGTCTACGGGTTCGGTGTTGGGTCGTGGTTTGTGATGATCCCGCCCATGTTGGCCCAGCACCACGGCGCCGCCCAGC